TTCCGCTTGCCACGTGGCACCCCATCCCTAACCACCTTACCTCCCTCAAACTCACCCTCACCTCCAACCTCTCCATCAACGGTGTCCCCATCACCCACACAAACTTATTCCAGTGAGTCCCCCATTGTCCATGGCATCACCACCCCTTTTCCCACCATCATTGCCTTCAATTCCACATCATCGATAGAAACCCAACTAGGCTTAAGCTATCAGGACCCTAGGATCGAAGGGCTACATCTCCTTCGCTCTAGGTTTAAACTCAATTCTTGATTCATTGAATGCGTTGCCAGAGAAGGTTATGGTGTTCACTCCATAGGACAACGAAATGGCGCGTGAGGCATACGCGCTAAAAAGGGCAGTGAAACAACACGCGACTGTAGGGGAGGTTTCTGTACGGGGAGTTGATGGGGGATGGGGTTGGACAGGGGATGAGAAGTGTGGCGGACAAGCATTGGATGCTTATGATCATTGATGGTGAGCGGAGCGGGAGCGCGGTGAAGATCAATGGCGTCGCGATTGATGAGCCGGAGGTCTACTTCAGTGATGGGATTGTGGTGCATGGGATTGCGCACTATTTTGGTGTTGAATTGCTCACATTGTAATTAATTGGTGCAAATATTAGGAGTTCGTTGCGGGATTTTGAAACATTTTATGATTTTCCTTGTTGCAAATTTTGGAAGTATTGTTGTTGATGTTGTTGGCTTTTTTTTTTTATAAAATTGTGATGAGATCACTAATAAATGAGAGTATGAAATATTCAAAATTATTTTTAAGTAAAGAAATGTTAGTAGAATGTTAAGTAATGCGTTTTATGATTTTAGAGCAAATGCATATTTTTAGTTGTTTCTCTATTTCTCCTCCTCTTTCCATTGCTAGCTAGTTCTTTTCAACCCATGAGTTCCAATGCTTTGAAGTGTTTTGGTAGAACATTCATAGTTAAAGAATCATCTATCAAATTTGTGAGTTAATTCTTAAACTTATGAGTTAGTTGTTAAACTTATGAGTTGGTTGTTAATCTTCTAATTTAGTTGTTAGTCTTATGAATTAGTTATTAATCTTATGAGTTAGTTGTTAATATCTTGAGTTTATTGTTAACATTATTCGTTAGTCATTATGATTTTTATTTGGTTGTTGTTGATGTCAGTTATCAAATAGGGGGTATCTGAGAGTTTGTGGAGTGATTAGAGTCCTCTAACTCCTCTGATAAATGGTTCTGGGGCATGTTGTTCTTCCCTGCACATGAAGGAACTCGTAAGAGGACAGAGTTGGGTTCTCCAGTTGTTCCTCTGACGATCAAGTTACTATTTGGGCTTGAGTGGAGAAGTAATATAGTTGGTGCTTAGTTACGTAAAAAGGCCAGAGAGAGTTATCTCATGTAGTGCCACTCCTTTTATAGTAGGTTTGAGGGGCAATAATGTAACTGGACCGAGTCCAGCTAGGTAGCTGAGTCGGCAGACATGTGCTATGTGTTGGTTGCTGAATGAGGTGAATCACCTGGTTATTTATTATAGGAATGACAACATGTGCTTGGTGATGACTGGGTCCGATGAGTCATAAAGACCATAAGGGCTATGGTAATAATGATATTATCAGGACAATTAATGTGAGAGTAGTCGACTGGCAAGGGGTTCGAGGTAATTGTCATCTTTTGACTCCTCAGGTCGAAGGCTGAGCAGTACCATCTTTTGAATCGGTTACGTAAGATGTCGGCTGATTAGTGGGCTGAGTCGTATCGTTGGTGGTCCACTGAGAGGTTGGCTAATTAGTACTGCCTTTTGACTCAGTTATATGAGATGTCAGCCAATCAAGTCGGCCGTGCCAAGTTGGATGTTATCCTGGTTGCGAATTAGTTTGGTTAGGTAAAGTGTAAGACATGTCTCGACCTCTCTGTGGAGATTACTATTTAGCATTTTTAGGGGTTTGAACAATGGGCCTCTTTCACTTGGAGTTGGCATAGGCCAGGCCCGAGTGAAATGATATTATAGATTTGTTGAGTCACGAGGTACATTAA